AACATTGGCAATATCAACAAAACATAGTTTAAACCTGAATAGAAAATCAATTAAAATCCAATAAACTACCATCATTTGCCATATTGCTCCCATATTGGAAGACAAAAGAATAAATAAAATATTTACATTAAACATTAAAAATTAAAGCTCAGGACTAAGTAATTGCTTTATAAATTTATGAAATATCTCAAGATCGTTATGAGTGTTGGCTAATCTTAACATTCTTGGAATACAGCTGCTAAAAGTATGGTTTAAACGATAAAAAGGTACATAAAATGTTTGTTGCTGTCGAGTTGAGCGCGTTGGAACATAAAGATTTATTTTTGTTAGAAGTTCAGTACAGCTGCATCTGCCATTGATAATTTTGAAAAGTAATGTCAGGTCTCTCTCTGTTTCCTCCTAGTTTCCAAAGAGGGGATGTTTAGAAAATTCTCTATCAAATCATACTCGCAAAGGACACCCAATTTATAGGCTATGTATCTAAGAAATTTATGTTGCACATTTTCTATGTTTCTGCTGTGCGTTATCTAATGTGGAGACCAGACAGAAGAGCAATAATCTAGGCGAGGTCGGACTAGTGAACAATAAGTACTTTAATTGCAGTTGTGTCAGGTAAAATCATGTGTTAGCCTTTTGATAAAACCTAACATTTTCATGGATTTATGGATAGCCTTAGTCAAAGATGGAAAATGGCTCCCGAGATTTATTTGTCTGTTTCATAATGTTTATTTTGCCAAATTTTCACAGAATATCAGCAAACAAACACGTAATAGCAGGTGCATGCGTTTCATAGTAAAGCTTATTACAGTATACTTGTCACATTCAAAGATTAGAATAGGAGTGGGATTCCGTTTCACGATTCGACTCGAATTTGATATCAAACTCCATAAAAGCAATTCCGTTTAACGAGTAGTCGATTCGATATCAAATCGTTAAAGTTGGATTATTCTGACATTAGGTATGACCTGTCAATGGGTTAAATGATACGCCTGTGGTTTAAAATTTTAGGGAAGAAAGGAATTTAGTTTCCAGGGCATACCTATGTCTCTGGCAATGTCTTTTCTGGATAACCTATCGTGCAACAGAGGTCTTTTATATCCTTAGAATATCAATAAATTGATTATTTATTATACAAAATATTATAAACATTGATAGGTTCTCTTTATTCTCTTTATTTTATTCGATTAATATAGAAAAAAATAGGCGTTGCCGATATTAACATTAGAAAAATATGTTGGACTGTTATTAATCCTATGTTTAGAATCAATATTTTTTTAATATAATATTAAATTCTTTAGCCTACTCCAATATTTACAATATAGACAGAACATAGCTCTCCAACATTGGCACTTTCTACTAAACAAAGATTAAACCTACATAGAAAATCCAATAAACTACCAATATATGCTATATTGTATCCACATTGGTACAAAATTGATACTGTATATTGGATTAATATTGGAAAACTAGGCATTGCCGCTATGAACTTAGGAAAATATGTTGGGCTGATATTAATCATATGTTTTGAATAAATATTTTTTTTGATATAAAATCGAATTCTGTTACCAATATGGGCAACTGCTATTGTTTCATCATTTAGAGAACATAATTCTTCAAGATTGGCCCTTAGGTTGTAGTCAGGTTGAACAGGTGGCTTGGCTATGCTTGACGTACCTATGATGAAGTGATTTGGTGTGAGACTTTCAGGGTCTTCATGGTTTGACGAGACATAGGCCAGGGGATGCTATTAACTATATGCTCTGCTTCTAATAGAAATGTATACAGTACTTCTTCTTTCACTATAGTTATTCTTAAAATGACTTTTAGGGTGTCCTTTATTGACCGAACCATCCGCTCTCAGGCTCCAGCCATGTGAGGACTTGCTGCTGAAATATACCACCAATCTACATCCTTTGCTAACATTTCACGATGTATCTTGCTCTCGTTTATCTCTTTTAGGGCTAATTTTAGTTCTTTAGCCTACTTTAGGTTGGTGCCATTATCAATCCATATAGTCGGTGGTTGCCCTCTTCTCGCAGAGAACCTCCTGAGTGCCAAAATAGCCGAGTCCATTGTTAGAGAGTCTGCTAGTATGATATGTACCGCTCTAATAGACAAGCATGTAAACAAAACGCCATACCTTCTATACCTTTTCCTTCCTAGAACTACTTCCATAGGCCCAAAGTAATCCAGTTCAACATAAGTGAATGGTCTAGGTGGTTTGGTGACTCTAAAGTTGAATAGTTGACCCATCTCAGGTATCCTTGGTTTAACTCTTTTATATGTACATATTATACAATTATTTATAACTTTTGAAACTAATCGTTTTCCATGAACAATCCAAAATCTTTGTCTAACTTCGTCTAGGATAGTCTGCAATCCTTTATGGCCAAGATGAATGTGGAAGTATTGTACTAGAAGATATGTGTACCTATGCTTTCCGGGTAAAATAATCAGTTCTTCCTGCTAAGCAGATTATTCCATCTTCTAGACAAGGGTACAACTGGTATAACGTACTATTCTTCGGTACACATTTTCCTCTTCTTAAGAATTTTATTTCTTTACTATAATACTCTACCTGAATGCTCTTATGCCAAACTTGTTCGGCCTTTTTAATTTCTTGTATTTTGAGTTCTCCTCTTTCTCTGTCCTTATTCCTCGTTAAAAATCTCGGTACACATGCCATAATATGTAAAGCTTTTCTCCAACTTGAAATTTTGTTAATATCTGGAAAGTAGTAATTTTGTTTCTGCAAGTTTACCAATACTCGTTTTTCTTCTACTTTTTCAGTTTCTATTTCTAAATATCTATAAGTTTCATCTTCTTTTGGCCAATATTCCTTCTTTGTGTGTAAAAATTCAGGGCCATTAAACCATCTAGAATCAATAGAGAAATCTATCTCGCTCTCCCACCGCGTTGCTTCATCTGCTTCTTTTGTAGGGAGCCATCTCCACTGAGATTCATGACTACTTTCCAAAATTTCTGCTATTCTGTTGGCTACAAATGTTTTGAATTTTCTATGTTCCGATCGAATCCATCTTAATAGTACTATAGAGTCTGTCTAAAAGGTAGTATTGTCAATCTTTAGCGAGTGTTCCTTCTGTATCGTTCTTGCAAGTCTGCTACCCATGACAGCTGCTTGTAACTCCAGTCTTGGGATTGTGATTACTTTGGCGACTTGTGTCCTAGACATAACTAAAGTTAAATGTATGTTATTACGTTCTTTTAACCTAAAATATGCGACTGCTGCCATGGCTTGCTGACTACTATGTAAATATATAAAGTTCTAGATTAGAAGTATTAAAATTTCTTTAATTGTAGCATCGTGGAATCTGTATATTATCTATTTTCCTCAAGTCTTCTACAATCCATTTTTTCCACCTCTTAAAATGGCAATATTCAATTTCTTTGTCCCAAGGGATTCCTGCCTTCCAGATATCCTGCAGTAAAATCTTCCCTTTTATAGTAAAATTTCCTAAAATTCCTATAGGGTCAAAAAGAGACATAACTAACTACCTTTAAAACTTCTATTAAAATATAAACAAAATTTTAAAATATCTTTCATTGGACACCATTTTAATCCTAATACTCTATGAGACATGTTAGGATCATCCAGCATTTTATCATGGGAGCACAATTCGGTGGCAATGCTGTCCATAACATCCTTGTGACTTTTAATCGAACTGTCTTCTCCCCATGCTCTCCCCAAAAACCATGGAAAAACATCAACACAACTTCATAATAATATAAAATAAATTTACAAACAATATATATACAGGGTGTTTCCGAACTTGGTGTCCAAATTTGTAGGGGTGGTAGTTCGCAAAATTTGAGACCGATTCGCAGATTTCATTTTTCCAAAATATTTAAAATTAAAATAATTAAAAATTAATTAAAAATGTTGAACAGGTACGGCGATGGGATCAATTCTCTGAACGCGAGGTAAACAACCCAACAAAGCAATAAGCACTAGAAAAACAATCGGCTACGTCTTTCGATACCGGCCGGGGACTAATGCGCTACGCGCTCAGGGTAGGACCCGCTTTTTGATTTTTTTCATAATGGCTCTATTTTGTTTATTATATTTTCTTTTAGAAAAACGAAATCTGCCAATCGCTCTCAAATTATGCGAACTACCACCCCTACAAATTTGGACGCCAAGTTCGGAAACACCCTGTATACAGTGAGCATCATAAGTCTTACCCCCTCTATCTAACTCGTTACTGGAGTCTTGTTAGGAAAATCGCCGAGACACGTCGATTTTTGATTTCTACAATGTACATTTTTGTATGAATAGTTTACCCTTAATTTCATCCCTTACTGGAGGGGAGCAACCCTTTCGATAAATTTAAATGGCACGGGGTGGTGAGTGATAGCTCATTTGAAAGGGGGTTTTATTCTCTATTCAACGTGCAAAAAAATTTGAAATTTGCTTCATTAATTCTCGACTAATAATTGTTTCACAATAACGGAAATTAACGTAGCGCACTCATCCTTAGAATTAAAATTCGGCTTTGCATGACATCGGTATTGGTTCAGACGTGAAGTAAGACTTTTTGCCATTAGATAAGGTCACTGTTAGTTTAGTTGCTTTCCTATTTGTGATGTTTTGGTATTTTTAAACATTAATAAATCAACACGTAATGAAGCAATTTTCAAAAAATTTTGCACGGTTGAATAGAGAATAAAACCATCTTTCAAATGAGCTATCACTTACCACCCCATGCCATTCAAATTTTTCGAAAGGGTTGCTCCCCTCCAGTAAGGGATGAAATTAAGGGTAAACTATTCATACAAATATGTACATTTTAGAAATCAAAAATCGACGTGTCTCGGCGATTTTCCTATCAAAACTCCAGTAACGAGTTAGTTAGGGGGGTAAGCTCCCTCAAAGTTTATCAGATTCATAATTTTAAATGAACGTTCTTGCAACTGCTTTTAAATATTTATAAATGAGCAATATTAAACTAATAATATTTATTCTTAATACTTTTTTTTAGTAATAACAATAATTGTCAGGAATCTAATGACAATCAACTAATAAAATTTAATGACTTTGCAATGCCTCAAACACAAAAACCAATCGATCATGATTCAGGTACATCTACAATGATGGATGAGATTGTAAACAGAAAAAATAAGAAGAGTAGTATATTGACTAAAGGATTAGGAATTCACAATAAATCCGCTTCTAGAAAAAAGGTAAATAAAAATACTCGATCAATAAAATCATTGAGAAACAGGAAACCATCTCTAGAAGACGAGTACAGAAACAATGAATCATTGGGAATGCTCAGTCCTACACTGGAAGATACATCCCGAAATGGGGAATCATTGGGAATATCCGATCAACTTATAGAAGATGAATATATAGAATTAACAGTTAATAAAGTCCTCAACAGATTGAGTAAGTATACAAAATATTCGTTTTTTACTTTTTTTATTTTTTATAGTCTTAGAGCTGGGAATAAAATAAACTGTCTCTTAATAGCTAAAGGTTTTACAGTGGTAGCGTAGAGCTATAAGAATACCACATTTCTCATAATGTATATGTAATGTATTTATCCTGTTTCCTTTGGTTATAATTTAATGCTTGTTGCGGTATTATTTATTTATTTATTTACGGGCAAGCCCATTTGAGAAGTAAATTACAATTTTAAAATTATAATTAAAATGTAGTGAAATATATATGGTGCTGAAATACAATCGTGGTATAATTCATAAAATAGGTTAAGAATTTAAAAGATTTAAAAGACAATAAGGTTGAATAAAATATTTACATTAAACATTAAAAATTAAAGATCAAAAATTAAAGCTCAGGACTAAGTAATTGCTTTATACATTTATGAAATATCTCAAGATCGTTATGAGTGTTGGCTAATCTTAACATTCTTGGAATACAGCTGCTAAAAGTATGGTTTAAACGATAAAAAGGTACATAAAATGTTTGTTGCTGTCGAGTTGAGAGCGTTGGAACATAAAGATTTATTTTTGTTAGAAGTTCAGTACAGCTGCATCTGCCATTGATAATTTTGAAAAGTAATGTCAGGTCTCTCTGTTTCCTCCTAGTTTCCAAAGAGGGGATGTTTAGAAAATTCTCTATCAAATCATACTCGCAAAGGACACCCAATTTATAGGCTATGTATCTAAGAAATTTATGTTGCACATTTTCTATGTTTCTGCTGTGCGTTAACTAATGTGGAGACCAGACAGAAGAGCAATAATCTAGACGAGGTCGAACTAGTGAACAATAAAGTACTTTAATTGCAGTTGTGTCAGGTAAAATCATGTGTTAGTCTTTTGATAAAACCTAACATTTTCATGGATTTATGGATAGCCTTAGTCAAAGATGGAAAATGGCTCCCGAGATTTATTTGTCTGTTTCATAATGTTTATTTTGCCAAATTTTCACAGAATATCAGCAAACAAACACGTAATAGCAGGTGCATGCGTGTCATAGTAAAGCTTATTACAGTATACTTGTCACATTCAAAGATTAGAACAGGGGTGGGATTCCGTTTCACGATTCGACTCGAATTTGATATCAAACTCCATAAAAGCAATTCCGTTTAACGAGTAGTCGATTCGATATCAAATCGTTAAAGTTGGATTATTCTGACATTAGGTATGACCTGTCAATGGGTTAAATGATACGCCTGTAGTTTAAAATTTTAGGGAAGAAAGGAATTTAGTTTCCAGGGCATACCTATGTCTCTGGCAATGTCTTTTCTGGATAACCTATCGTGCAACAGAGGTCTTTTATATCCTTAGAATATCAATAAATTGATTATTTATTATACAAAATGCTACATATTATAAACATTGATAGGTTCTCTTTATTCAGAAAAAGTTCTCCACGACGATTTTCTGGATGTTCAAAAGGATCGTTTCTTTTTTGTAACTCATCCTTTTTTTAGCCTAATAATAATAAAAAATAAAAATATATGTGATCCTTGCAACTCTGAATGCAGGGATCACTCGTAATGGGGTAAATTGCAAAAAGATTATTATTTAATATTATTGCACTTTGTGCTAAAGAAAGGGAAAGAAGCGATCCTTTCGAACTCTATGAAAATCGCTGTGGATAGCTTTTTCGGCTGAATAAAAATTATCTACCTTTATTAATTTATATTTTTTAGCGTTTTATGTAATTAATAAATGCTCTTATTGATGTTTCAAGTAGTATGCAGAGTCCCTACTATTTCATAGGGACATTGTTGATATTTCTTAAACGGTAACAGATAGAAGGTTGGTTAAATAAGAGAAAAGTTACGCAGTTTTGTGCTTATTAAAATGGTGCCAAGAAACCTTTGATATCTATAGGGAAATTTAAAATATCGGACAAAAAATGAAAATTGTCATTTCTTAAAATTAATTCATTCGTTTTTTGTCAGATATATTAAGTTTCTTTGTAGATATCAAATGTTTTCTGGCACCATTTGAATAAGCACAAAACTACGCAAATTTATCAAATTCAACAATTTTTCTATCTGTTACCGTTCAAGAAATAGCAATACTGTGCCTGACTCACGAGCTAGTAGGTACCTATCTAATTGGGAGGATTGACAATGGGCCTAGTGAGGCATAAATGTCATGAGTTAAACCACCCTCGACAAGTTACAGATACTGTTCCTATAAAATAGTAATGGCCCCGTATATACTTAATAGAGACAATAAGGCCCTTAATGCAAGGAGAGGTTATTCAGGAAAGGTTCATACCTAGTGTCAAAAAAATTCAACTTTAAGATTTGATATCGAATCGACTACTCTAGAGCTATCGAGTTATTTGATCGAGTTTATTGTCGAATTTCGTTGAACGGAATTGCAATTATGGAGTTTTATATAAAATCCGAATCGAAGATTTCCGAAGTCAAAACAGATAGAGACTATAGAATCTCTTTTCATAATTCGATCGAACTATGAATCGTATCGAGATACATGTTAATATATTTAAGATTTTTGTTGTTAGTTTATTAGTTTATCATTATTATGACATATTATTTAAATTGATTCTATTTGAGGTTTTTTGTTTTTATTTGTAACTTTGTACTGAAAGTGGGCAAGGCCCGTGAATAAATAAATAAAAATGCTCATGTTGACGGGTTTTTAGAATTCAAGCATGTCGCTCTAATAATCTAAAATTATGGGAAAATAATTTTTTCACCTCTAAAATGTCAAAAAGTTACAACAACCTTGAGAAAATAGTTTTTTTCCTTTTTATCGAGATCCAGGCCACTGCTGGCGGGAACCGAACCCGCGATTTCTGCCTTTTAGGACCAATGTATTAACTTCTTGAGTATCAGGATGCTTAACCAGTACATTTTTCTTTTTTTCTGTATTTACTGAAAACAATTTAATACTGGTGAAACAAAGAATGATTATGACGTTGTTACGACGACGCTGAGAGAGTGGCTGGAGGAAAATTAAATAATTTCCATCGAAAGCGCGAATTTTTTTCACTTTTACTTTAGTTCGTTTTAATTATTGAAATTTCCTACCCTATTCTTTAAAATATTTTATTTACCGAAGTATATCGTATTACATTTACTGAAGAAACACCTTGCCATACTTCTATTATCAACTATTACAACATAATCAAGAAAATTTTTTTTTTAGAATTTGTTGAAAAAACTCCTAATTTTGCTGAAATGGCGGACAACTTGATATATTCAGATTCATTGGATTATGGTTCTGGTAAATCTTTGATTTACCTTGAGATACCACCTTGTAGACACAAATCACCACATATTAGCAAAAACCATGATGTGGTAAGTTATTTTAGTGTAAGATGATTTGTTCATTGTTTCTGAATGAACTACCATTTTTTTATATAAAATAAAATGTTTACTTTAAATTATTCCCTATTAATATAACTGAGAGGCACAGAAAATATACTCATGAACTCATCCGAAGCAACCTGTATTGAATAGCTGATTTTTAACCTGCCAAACAATTATGTGTAAGAGTTGTTGTGGTAACACTTTCTCTCATATGAAACATTCAAGGATTTGTTTTTATATTTTGTTGATATAGAAATTGGAATAGTTTCGGGATATATTGTGAAACGTCAAGCGTCCTCTCCTAATTCTATTTCGAACCTTGTTGGTCTGGCCTTGTTTTACACTCCTACACATTGTGGGTGGAGTTGTCATAATTTTTCTGAAACTACATAAAGGTAAGCAAGTTTCAACACTAAAAGTTTACAATGAATTGAACAAAGTGTAATAGAAACAAGCACATAACAGAGGGATCGCTGTCAGCGAACATCGAAACGACTTCAACTTCTGACACCACTACATACCTACAGCAGACATATTTATGCGCAACGAGCTACAGCAGTCTCTACCCTGATATTGTTTTTGTCATTTTTTTTTTTTTTCATAAAAATCGTTTTATTGCTTAATAAACTTAAAACTTTTTAGCGCACACCCTCACAAAACATTTGAATGTATAATTACTTGTACATCTTATATTTTGAAGGCAATATTATAAAAAGTAGAGAATTAAATTGGTTTTAATTTGCTGCAATAAAAAAAGATTTTTTCCGTTCAATAAACTATATGATATTATGTCATCAAAAACAAAATTCAAACATATCTTTGTTACTTACCCATTAAAGCCAGAAATCTTGTGTTTTGGCCATTTTGCCAAACTCTTCTCACTGTATCTCTAACGTGTGGAGGATGGGTTGCCCCCACCGCTCTTAGGCCTCACACATTGTACATCCTCCTAACGGTCAGTATATCAAATATTTGTTTGTTGTGGTGTTGTCAGGATAGCTTAAAAGCTCCCTAGCAACTCTGCAGCTTCTTGTTTCATCCCATCTTTTCTTGAATTTTACAAGAGAATGTTCTTTAATTAGGTTTGTCACTATCGGTGTTGTCCGTCCAATAGATAGGCCAGGCCAAAAATGTTTTTTGTTGGCTGCTTTCTTGGCTAGTGAATCAGCACGTCAGTTACCTTTGATATGATGTGACTTTGATCCATCTTAAAGTGACCACATTGGTGATTTATACTTCGGCCAAAGCTTCGTGACATTCTAGTACTAACCCTGAGTAAATTCGTGGTCTGTTCAGGGTGAGTAGTTCTAATTAACAGTGCTGTTCCTAAAGTGGCGCTGGGAAACAGTAACAAAGCCTACACAGAACACGAGGCTAATGGCCGTAGTAGTCGACGCCGATGACACCAAATTAAAAAAAAAAAAAAAATAATAATAATAATAATAAATGCCTTTATTTGCTTGTAATGTACAATGCACATAAACATCATGAGGCGAAGTCTAGCTTGCGCTACTCAACTTAACCTCAACATAAATATAAATTTAAAATAATCAGAAAGTATCCATCATTTACAATATAAAAAAAATAAAAAATTTAATATACAATTAATTTATGATTAAAAAATATTAACCCTGTATTTAATCTAAACCGAAATCAATGGAACTTAAAATACAATTAAATAAGGAAAAATGTTTGAAATTAATAATATATTAACGTTAGCCACTGTATTCATTGCTCAACTAATAGCAACGTTTTATAATTTTGTTTTAAAAATGTCAGAGAACATGTCCTAATTTCCCTAGGTAGACTGTTATATATTGAAATGGCGTTATATGTGAAAGATCTTTTGAAAAATTGTCCAGGTATGTTTTCAGCCAGCAACTAGGTGTAGGACTGAATCAGTGGCACTATCTGGGGTGTGTGCATGTTGATTTGAGTGTAGTGATGTTGTAATCATCGCATCCTTATATATATTTCGCAAAGTCTTTCAAATGTCTTCTTTGCCAATACATTATAATTATAATTCTTTCTACCTTTTGGTGTAGGGTATAGGATACTTTTATTATATTTATTTAAATAATTTAATTTATTTTCAGTTTTATGTCGTTATTGAAGGACATGGAAGGATCATTGTTACAAGAAAATATTCCAAGATTGAAAAATTAAGCAGATTTTTTGTACCAAAAGGCGAGTATCTCTTTTTATAATTTTTAAAACAATACAAAGTGTAATCATTTTAAATTTAATTCACATTAAGAAATGAACTTAAAAGCATGAAACATAAAATTCTTTAAATTTTGTTAATATATTTTTTAACACTGTAAATCAAGTGTAAAAAAATAAACTGATTTATTTTGATCCTTTAAGAATATCTTAAAAAAACTGCAATTAAACGTGTTTTGAAATAGTTTCTGTTAAAATAATTTTTAGTATATCATTCGATCATATAAACAGTAGATAAATCATCTTGCCTATTTTTTGTCTGCCATATGAAACTGGAATTGTCTTTAGAAAGAGATATCATCATAGGATTGGCAGATTTGAAACAATACAAGTGCTAAATTCTTTTTCTATGGTGAAACCAGAATATTAAATATCGCCAAATAAAACAAGTGTTTGTAATGAATAAAATATTCGTGTTGATGCTTTCAACTTTCAATTCTTTATTCTTTCAGTCGGTTGCAAGAACGATCGTTAAATACTCATAGACTCATTAACGCTATTGATCCATTAAAAATGCATTCCGATCGTCGATAGCTATTGAACGTCGTGTATTTGGTAACAGGGTGCGTTTGCCGCAATATGACCAATGATATATATCGATATTAAATAGTAGAAAAATTTATAGAACTTAAAAGTACCAAAATATTTAGCAGAAAAAACACTTATTTGTGCATTTTTATTCTTTTGGATGTATAAGTAATTGTTTTTGTTTCATTTATCCTGCTCTTCTAAAGTTCTTCTATATCAGCATCTTTAGCTGCTGGGTCTGAAACTAAATCTTAACTCTTTTGAGGTAGGCAAGAATTTGTAATATTGATGTTATTCTACAGGGATAACATCACTGTAAGCTTTTGTGATTTTAATTTCATTTGCATTTAGGGGACGGCCTTTATCCAAAACATGTGTCATTAACATTAAAATACTTTTTAAACCTAACATAAATGCTCTTGTTTTGTTTTAGCTGCCAATATAATTCTTGTAATGCACTTAGTCTTTTATGTGCACATGCGTATCAACGTATACCGCGTTTAATACAATTATCTGGTTCTGTCAGTACATAGTTTAGACAGTTTTAATGTTAGACATGCACTTAACTCAAAAATAAAAAAGTACTTATCTTGTTCTGGCAATAACCCGACGATATTATGTGTAGGTGTTTTAAAACATTTTTTTTGTGTTGTAAAGTTGAGTTTCCATATAGTCAAATAATATTAAGAGATCTAAACAATTTTATAACAGGAAAACAGTAACAAAGCCTACACTAAATACATAATAATAAAAATCAAATCACAAACTGAGACTGGCATATTAGGTTAATCTAAGCCATAAAAAATAAAAAAAACACTGATACTTATTATATTAATAATAATTATTAATTATACAGAACAAAGTTATCTTGATTACTGAATAAAATTAATTTTATGACCATGATAATGACATTTTAATTTCATAGCAACATCCTACACTAGTTTCAATTAACAACCTTAAACTTAAAGGTGGGGAAGGTGGATTCCTCTCCAGCACTTAGGCCCCATAAAGCCCATTGTGCATCCTCCGGAGGCATATAGAACTGCCTCTCAACTTGTAAGAACCTGCTGGATGCCGCTGAGAGGTGTCTAGAGATAACCGCATTTTCCCAGCTCATCAAAGTCCTGCAGGTTATCAAAAATCTACAGGTTGACGCTGAGGCATGTCTTAATGACAAGAAAGCACTATGTAGAGCTGGGCAGTATAATTGTAAACTGTACTCAAAATTGTACTGCACAGGCCCAGGTCCAGACAAGCCTCAGCTTGTCTTGTTTGTTGTGTCTTACAGAACTACGCTGGTTACTATTATTATTTTACATTTTATGTTTTGCCAGACAGTTTGTACAGTGCATATGTGTGGTGTGAAATAATTTATGCCAAACTGACTACATTCTCCACAAAAGTATTATTTGCTGAAAGAAGAGTTATGACTATCAGACAATTATATATGTTTAGTAAAGATACTAACAAACATTTCTCACAAATACTAAACAAAGATATAGACAAAATCAGTATGTAGTCACAGCTGTTACTAATAAACATGCTGGTCAAAAATGTTTCAAATTTAGAGCAACAAAAATTAATTTCCCGCTTTTCATTGTCTGATTTCATTGAGAATAGAATAAAGAGGACATGCTATGACGATGCTAAAGTGTCTGAACCTTTGCTTTAAACTTTACGTCATATATCAAATTCGAAATAGTGGAGCTAGTCAGTTTTGATGAGAATAAATGCCATTTATTGTTAAATAGATTCATTTAAATGATATAAACTCATTTTGTTTAAAATATAACATGTTTGACTCCAATCGCCATTTTAATTGCACTTTTCTGTCACTCGGAGTAGGTCTGTCATATCGCAAAATAGTGTTTATGTCGTCTCTACTTTATTCTATCTTGATGTCTGATTTGTATATAAATGTGCAAACTATATATCTTTATATCATTGTTCATAAGTTAACTTCCAAATCTGGTTCGTTTACGATAAGAGTGGATATGGATTATTCTGCCCATGGTAGACAGTAGTTTTTAAGAATGTTTAATAAATTGTTTGTTAAAATAACCCAGTTGCTTAAAATATAAGGGTAACAATTTGGTTTAAAAAATCAATGGATTTAGATTTCAAAATTCCGTCCTTCTTTTTATAAAGTTCGCGAAACTGACTGTAGTTGGCATGCCGAATAACAGAGCGGTGTCAATTTTCTATGTAAGTCAATGTAAAATGAAGTGATTTTTTAAAAAATTGGTGAATAGAATCATAATAATGTACAAGTACATGAGTGACAAAAAAAAAACAAAGCAAAATTTACGTCGTTCCAGATTGTAAATCCTGTTTTACAAATCAATTGTAAAACTAAAGAAAACAATGAGAAATCAATTCAATGTCTTTTTAAAGCTTCTAATGTAAGTAAAATAATGTATTTGTCTAAACATAATATTTATTGTAAACTAGTCACAATATGTATCTTACGGAGTGTAGTTTATTTTATTACAAGTTTCTATAATATTAAGTTTTACAGTCATAAATCCCGACTTACAAACAATAATAATTATACATTTAATTTAACTTACTAGAAAAGAAAATTTATTTTTTATAGAGTAGTAAAGTACTTTTTCGAATTTGGTCATACCTAATTTGTATTTTATATAGATAAAATTAAATAATTTATCAATTAAAACATGCAAGACTTATTTAGAAATAAATATAACAGTAAGTTCTGTGCTTTATTTATCTATAAACAAGTTTATTTTTATTATTTTAACAAAATTATGTATAATTTCCATAAGAATCCATGTATTTTGAACACCGTAAGCAGAACCAGCGCCCATGCGGTTAATTATAAAAGCTCAATTAGCATGCGTTTTTTGGGACCGTATTTTGAGTATGCCGAATTCGCCTCCTTATCTCTAGTCTTCATAGTCATACTTTACTTCATACTGTCATTTGGAAAAGCGCCGTTGCCAAATTTACTATTTAGGAGATAATGTACGAAGTAAGTAAAGTTGTGTTCATTAGTTTGAGAGATTTTAACAATCGGTCTTGCAACCGGCTGTTTATGTATTACGTATCTAGTATTTATATGATCGAACGATATATGAGTATTTTTAACCAGTTTCAAAAAAAAATTGGGATGTTCTTAATTATTAGTCGTAATATTTTATGTATGTTCAGTGATAATTCTTTACTACGTTGTTCGATTTCTATGATTTTTTTTTGTTGTTTTATATACATTTGGTTAAGATTTGATGATTGGATCTATGAGAAAATTGTCAAACTCTGCATTTTTGAAGTCGGTTTTTTAAAATTACTTTTACAACTTGTAGATTTGTGTAGTTAACAGTTTTTCATTTTATTTTAGGTGTTTCCTACTTAATCCACAATGACAGCAAAACGGAGAATATGTTATTAGTCTGTTTCAGGGTGTTAACTTAATTTTGATCATATGACTACGCTCTGGAATAGCAACGATAGTTTTTTGTTTTTGTATAAATTTACTAATTTAAGATGTTGAATTTTTAGCCATTTGTAAATATAAAAAGATAAAGATTTATTCCATACTTTTACGATTACTTACATATTTCTTTTTTAATTAAAACCACCAAATCATAAACATATAAAGTAATATAAAACTTTCAAATATGTTTATATACAGGGTGGCTCACGCTCAACAGGACGGAGCTTTATGGGAAAACGACCAAAGATATAAAAAATTCGTTTGGGAGGAATACGTAGGTTACAGACGGCTACAATTTAAAATTTGTTAGATGTATACAGGATGTCCCACATAAGAGAAAATATACAAAGTTATATTATTTTTAATGGAACACCCTGTTTTTTATTTTAGAATTAAAAACTACATCAAAAATAATGTCAGTTAACTAAAGGTTCCCTATTACTATTATTATTAGTTTTCGATTTATTTTAATTTTTAAGGAAAAAAAGTCTCCCAGAAATTAATTGTTTACTCTTGTTTGAATAATTTTTAATGAACTAATTTTTTTTTCTTATGTGGGACATCCTGTATACATCTAACAAATATCTTTGGTCGTTTTCCCATAAAGCTCCGTCCTGTTGAGCGTGAGCCACCCTGTATATAAACATATTTGAAAGTTTTATATTTTTAACCTACCATTAATAGAGTAACTGAGTAAAAACATTTTTCAATCAATATACAGGGGGCCAGGCCCTGATAGGTTACAGATAAAGGTCTAACTTAGATTGTCTTGCTATTGAAAATTTATAAATTTACTATAACCTAACCAACAAATATTGTAAATTTAAAAATAGTCCACCTTTGGCTGAAGTCTGTGTATCTTTAAACCAGTTTTTAAATAAAATTGAGTCTTACGATATTCTTTCTATATACCTGTTAAATTTTTTCTCCTTATTGTTCAAGCCAACAATCTTATTCCCTAGGTACAGTTAATACTATTTTTTGCGATGGGTCTAAAGGAAAACTTTATTTCCCAATTTCATTTACCAAATTATTAACAAAAATCCTATTATAAGAGAAATTATTCAGTCTCTCCTTACTCTTCATATTTCTAAAATCAAGATCGTTTTTATCTAGGTTAAAAGTCATAAAGGGATAGTTGGAAATGAAAAAGTCGATTTAGCTGTTAAAGAATCCAATCTTCCAACTATTAGTAATATTCATTCTCCTCAGGATATTATTCATGCAATGAAACGAAATGTTAGATCAAGCTGGGAGAAACTTTGGAAACACATACAGCCGTATGCATAGTCGATCGCCATCGACTCGCCAGAGATTCATTTCGGCGTATCGCCAGCGATTCGCTGGCGAAAGTCCAAAAAGCTGGCGACTCGCCGGAGATTGTCACCGGAATGTCATTTCACGCAAGTTTTCATGTTCTTTTATAGGGAAAAAATTGATATTCGTTCTTTATTTTTTGAGTTTTAAGAAATGAATCATGAATAAAATGCGAGAGATACCGGTGATAATCCCTATAAAAGAAAATAAAAACTTGCGTGAAATGACATTCCGGTGACAATCTCCGGCGAAACGCCACCTTTTTGGGCTTTCGCCGGCGGATCGCCAGCGAATCCTGGCGAAACGCCGAAATGAATCTCTTGCGAGCCGCTGGCGATCGACTATGCATACGGCTGTTAGTTTCTCATTCAAATAGCCCATATATATTTATTCACCCTGTTCTTCCAAAATCTATTTCCCACATTACAAATTTTAAAATGTCTAGGTATTATTGTACGACTTTAACAAGGATGAAACTAAATCATGGGGGTTTTCCGTCTCACCTTTCCAGAATTGGTATTAATATATCACCTTTCTGTCAATGCGACAATTCTTCTTTTGCTGATATCAACCACCTCATTTTTTCTTGTAGCCACCATAATTCTCATCGTTCTTCTTAAAAAACTTTCTTCCCTAAATATCCTTTTTCCATCAAGTATTTCTATTTTATTAAGTTCATTTGATGAGAAAATATATAACTTAATTATTGAATTTTTAATTAAAGAAAATATTAAAATATAAATAAATAATTATTCGGTTTACAAAAGTCTGTGGCAACAAAAACTACGTTTAGATGCCAATTCTCAAAAAAACCCATTTTATTTATTCTCAAAGATCCTCGATTTCAAACAAGTAGGAAAAATAAATAGTAAGACGACCTATGTTCAACCTTTACCTACGATGTGGTTCACTCAAGATATAGAAATATTGGATATTTTCCAAAATCATTCGATTTGAAATTTATTTTCTTTGGAGCGGTGGCGGCTTGTGAACAAAATTTTGGGGGTTCACAGTAACAGAATATAGATATCAGTACAGATATATGAAAAAACTTTCGGTGTTTTAAAAAGTTTACAACATACCTTTCTAAAAGACTGACAGTTTTTTTACCCACATACGTATCGAGATCTATATGCTGCTACTGTGAACCCCCAAAATTTTGGCCACAAGCCGCCCCTGCTTTGGAGTGCCATGTCAAACCTCTTTCGATAAAAAATGGCTGATATTTTTCCTCAGTTAGTTTATCACACTGTAATATAAATGGTGTTCTGAACCTACGAAATGTTCTACCATTGCCTGTCTAAATATAATGTTTTAACTAAATATATATGTTTGTTGGTATGGTCAAAGAAGCGAAATTGATTGAGTTTTTGTATGTACCAAAATTATAGATTACCTACAACATATGTGAAAGTTGACAAAGAACATTAAAGTAAAGGCCATACCAATTTAAAGGTCCTTAACTAGTTTCCACTCGAGCAGTTTTGAACACAAACACAAACCTAGATGCATCTAGGTTTACCAATGTTATGTGACTTTGGGACTTTTAAGTCGAATAAAAATGTACATACATCAAATTTTTTATATAATTTATCACATACGTTAGATACAAATGATGCATAATTAAAGCTGCTAAAAATTAAAGTATATAATTTATGATTATTAATGACAATCAATAAAACCTTAAAGAACGTATGGAATTTTAACACTATTTGACAATTCTGTTTAGGAAGCTGAAAGTAGGGTGACATTCTGGACAATCAGGACCGGTAGTGGCACTTTGCGTTGTATACATTTTTGGATAAAAATTTTGTATATTTGTGTCTTGTTTTCTTGTGTATATGAGTATAAATCATGAACAAAAGAAGGAATATAAAATACTGCACTTACAAAGAATGCACAAATAAATTTTACTCCAATATTAAGATTTCCATAAGATATTAATATGTATTTAAATATTTATTAAGGAGGTCTTCTAGTTTCTCGGTTTGATTTTTACGACTTTTTCAATAATTTTTTACGGACAAACCATCGAAATAACAAATCTCATTGTTTTTACATAATCTTTATTAACATTTAAATGAGCTTTACAAATTTTTTGAAGACCAAATATATAATAGAATCAAAGTTATATTGGCCGACAGGAAGACATCAAGTGAAGGAGGTGCTTGACGGTGACCAAGATTGCGGCTGTTTTGCTTATCTGAAATCCAAAAACCAAACGGCATTTTAATCTTTATATTTAAGACTAGCGATTGAACCAGAATGAATTCTAAATTACAAAAATTAATTTTTTTATACACTTGAAAATTAAATTCTATTGTTTACTCATTTTTTCTTAAGTTTCTCGCACGTAGAAAAAAAAGTATCAAAGCAATCATGATAATCCTAGTTCAATCGCTGGCTTATAACATATTAAAGATGTCGTATAAAAGTGAAAAATATCGGTGCAGTAGTTTCTGAAATATCGTGATCACAGTTTTGAAAAATAGTGTTCCGAAAAAAACGCGTTTCAATGTTCGCGCATATGATTTATAATAAAAATTTCATCTCACCGTCAATCTGCTATGCCTGGACCATACAGTAGGCCTTCCTCTTCTTCTTGGAAGTCACGCAGAGCTGCTTCGTCTTCCCTTTTCGCGATTCGGGCCTGTTTTACGACATCCCTCGTGCGCTTTTCAGAACGGTCGATCCGAGAGCTTTCACGCTGTTGAACGTATCCTTTAGCTTGTGGGCCGATTTTCACTCTCATGGTTTCCAAGGTCTTCAGGATAGATTCGAATCCTTCGTTGAAGATCATGACAGCGAGAAACGTGGCGATTTCAACGACTTTTTGGCCCAGAATGGAGGTGCTTTGGAGCAAAAGTCCAGATTAACGAATTGAGCGACTCATTATTTTGAGTTTCCGCTCCCAGGCATCTGCTTAACAATTATTTTCTGGATAAATCCTCATACATTGGCTTTATAACCTTTTAAACTGCTTCAGAAAGAGGTGGTTTATCGTGCTTGAATTGCTCAGCCTTTCCGAGAAACTCTGCTCTGCGCCATTTGCACCAAATAGATTCGCCTGCAGGGCAATTTTGATGCTGTGGATTGCTGTCTGTGGAAATCTTATGATAGAATGTTGCCCAAATGTCCTTCCTTATTTCCTCAATAGACTCTGGATGTCTCCGAATAGCTAATCCATAATACTTTGTCATCTCACCAATCAATTTGTCAGTGAGTTTTCCTGCACCTTTTCCACCAATGGCTTTATTAGATTTTTTTGCATTTCGGAGCCGAGTCCCCATCCTCTTTTCAACCAGTCCAACACACTCTTTTTTTACAACATCTTTTCCATATGGTTCTGCCTTCAAAATACCTTTAAATGTCTTGCTGTCACCATCTCCTATGTATGTCGTATATCGAACTTGATGTTTATTTACTGAACGAGAAACCATTTTCACAACTGCATCTATTTCCATCTTCCCAGAAATTCCAGTATGATTTGCAGTACAATTTTCTTCACTACCAGCTAGCCATCCTGCATATCCAACTGGATCACTATTTTTTTTATTTTCCAACAAATTGTAACCAGCACAAAAACTATTCATTACACACGAATCAACCACTTTAACGGTATACTTTGTAATTAAAGTTGAAACTCCGAATAAAGATGAAAATCCTCTTTTTTTACATGTGCCACCTCCAGATATGGTGAATTCATTTTCTGCTTTTCCTTGTTCTTGAAGGATTTCCTTTTCTTGATTAACTGCAATCGACAACACTGTATCAAAAACGGCCGAAGAAGCTGAGTGAATATTTTCTAATATGGTATCGTACGTGTTCAAAGCAAAACCATGTCCCATATCCATTAGTCCTTCATAACCGACTCCCAACAAACGCATCACAAAAACTAAGCGACGATTTATTTCACAGCTAAGCTGTGATTTATTTCGTAGGCTTTACCTATTTTTGGACATCTACTTCTTTTTCTTTCTCACACTTGCACGTCATAGAAATTTTAAAGCCCAATCCTCGTACATCACGTTGATGAAAAGTCACCGTACTTTTGCACTCTTTACAAATAAAAAACCGAAGAAATAGTTGAAAATACACTCGCGAAATTCAAAATACAATACATAAAAGTATGTTCAATGTACACTTCTAAATTTTTATTTTGAACAAGTTTCTTCACTGACGCCGATGTAAACGACTTGTCTTGTTTAAAAGTGTGTTGGGTGCCTGCGAATTTTCGCTTTTTAGGTCAATCGTAACGAGCCGGGGCGTCTCTACTTCCTTTCTTTAACATTTTAAAAATTATTTTCAAAAAATCAGCTACGTGTGACTCGCAAGAGAAAATATATAGTAGGCTTCGCAACTGCCACAGCAAAACTAAACTAATCAACGCTTCACAGCGTCTTAGTCAATACTCGAAAGCGTCTGTCAACCATGCTGTCAACGGTCTCGGCTCCCCTCTACTCGGGCCTAATTCACAAAAGGTTCAAGTATCAGTTAGATTTAGGGATATCTGTATTATTGTCAGCGCCGCTCGGCCTTGCGGAGCAGCGTTGCGCGCGCTCCTTATTCCTGCTCCATTCCAGGGCCGTAACTTGTAACTCGAAAAATCCTTTGGCACACATTTTCTACACATATGTTGTAGATGTGATTTATGAAAAAATAAAAATTCGATTTTTTCGACACGAGAAACTAGAGGACCCCCTTAATTAAATCTATAGAAACAAATATGTAAATAAATTAAGTTTCAAGGTCATAAAAATATATCAAAATCCTTTAATCTTTTGCCCAGTAATTTAGATCATTTGTACCAAAATAGCAGTGACCTTGACGTTTTTGGGAACTTAATAGACTTGGAAACATATGAAAACCAATCAGTTTTGGTCGTTTGCTTCATAAGAATTAAAAATACTAAAGTTACAACAACACAGAAAATTCTTACTAAGTTCATTATTTAAAAACGAAATGTAGATGTAGCTGTAAATGCATTTTGATTGCATCCTGAGTGATTTTGTCGTATATATTAATTATTTTGTATTATTGTTTATTTATTGTTTTAATTCTGAAAAATATATTTTTAATAAAAGTCTATTGTGAAATTAAACGCTGTATAATATGTAAATTATCATTATAGCCGGATGCAAGAACATTCATTAAAATTTATAATTTTGATAAACTTTGACAGTACGTGAGAATCTGATCTGTTTAAATGATATAATCTTTAAATTACTCACAGTCAAATACATTTTAACGAACATTCTTGCATCAGGCTGTTAAACTCTTAAGGAGGTCCTTTCGCCACCAATGCTAAATAAAAAATATTAGATTATGACTAAAATTAATTTTTTTTCTAATAGTAGATGTCCTTATTTATCTAATAGTGAACTTTTAACTATACCTTACCGTGCAAATTTTTGAGAATTTTTTTTTTAAAAATGTGTGTGTTTGTACAGTGTCTTATGAGAAAGTAAGACTTCAACAACAATTTTCGAATTATAGTTAATTTTACTATTATTTATTGATTAGATGGAGTAGAAAAAAACTAAAAATAAGGTTTTTGAAATATTTAGGTTTTGTTTTTTACAATAAAATATATAGGTTACCGTGGAATTTATTGAGAAATTATTATTAAAAAGTCACAAAAAATTTTCAACTAGGTTACTTGAAGATTTTTTGTGATTTTTTAATATTAATTTCTCAATAAGTTCCACGGTTTACTATATATATATATATATATATTTTATTGTATAAAACAAAATCTAAATATTTCAAAAACCTTATTTTTAGTTTTTTTCTACTCCATCTAATCAATAAATAATAGTATAATTCGAGAATTGTTGTTGAGGACTTACTTTCTCGTGAGGCACTGTACAAATACTCACATTTTTAAAAAAACAAATTCTCAAAAATTTGCAAGGTAAGGTATAGTTAAAAGTTCAGTATTAGATAAATAAGGACTTCAACTATTAAAAAAAAATTAATTTTAGTCATAATCTAATAACTTTTTTTTTTACATTTGAGGCGAGAGGTGTGGCGAAAGGACCTCCTTAATTTAGTGAGTTTGTTTCCGACCTTTTATTGTGAATAGCTATTATAAATATTTTAATATACTTCATTTACGTTGGGTCTTACTTTTTTTAAACGTTTTTCTACATTTTTCTGTTATGGGAATAATAGGAATAATATATTTTTAACCTACCTACCTACCTAATAAACCCTAATAATAATATACCAAACGTCACTCTACACAAAGTGATAGCTATATTTGACGTTAAACTACCTTGAAAGGCTAGTTCATGTAGTTGCGAATCGCTGCCATTGGTCAATATCACAATGATTACAAGATATGCAGTTGAATTTATTGAGAATTCGCATTATTCAAAATCTGGGAAGCGGGAATCTTGAAATAGTTATAATATTTTTGCGAATATCGCACAAATTTTGAGTGAACGCATGGCGTTTGTTGTGGATTTTGTTATAGTGTATATTTGTATTGTATTTGCGGTATTCTGCCCTCATTAGCCAAAACGCCGAATCTGCAGAAAATTCACAATTGAGCAAAATCAGTTCTAGGTTAGATGTATTTCCCTTGTAAACTATTGGGAATGTGGTCTTGTTTTGTGCTTTATATACGTACTGATGGTCATAGAATTCATATTGACACATTATATTGTTATAAAACCTCTTGCTCTAAAAATGCTGGTTCCTGCGTTTTTCCTGTATGTATATATAAATTAATTTCCTACTGCTTAGGAAGAATGCATTACTGCATTTTTGCTTAACATCTCATTGATTTATAATATATTTATTTTCATGTGATTATCGACTATGTAAAAAAAACTAAACAAAAAAATTTTAAATGAAAGATTTTATTGTCAGCAAAAACATAATCAACTTAAAATTAAATTCTGATTTTTTTCTTTATTTACTAGTGGAGGATATGGGTATATTTAACCAGAACTCTCTTCTATTTTGTGGTAAAACCTTTTCAAGATTTTTCAGTAAATTGTTGTTTTTCTATAGGAAATCCACAAGGCTGACTTAAACTATCTGGAAGTTTTATACCATTTTTCATGACTTTCACAGTCAGAAAACCTTTAACCTATCATCAATTTTGTTTACTGAGATGTGTTTACCTCTTTGATCTACTTCTACTATTCCACCATCCGATTTTTTTTAAATTGCCGTTGTGACAAAAGTTTCTGTAATATTTAAGGCGGGAGTTGAAAAGTGACCAAATAACAACTGAGAATCGTTACATATCTTGGATACCAACCACGTTCAATTACTGTTTAATAAAGAATTTTACTCAAAACTATTTTCTCTAAATGCTACCGGTTTCTGCGAACAAAAGTCAGGTCAAAGCGTTGAGTGGATATAAACCATTGATGCCAAGTTGTACTAAATTTCCGACATTATGACTGCATTTTTTGTATAAATAGAAATAGATATGATTGACTGGAAATTTTAAAAATAATGCAAATATTTCAGAATTAAGGGTAAATAGTTCAAAAAACGAACACCTACAATTTCAAAAACAATAAAAAAGGGATTGATTAGAGAATACTACATTTGTTTTTGCACATAGGTAATTTTCTAATGGAAAACGTAAGTTTTGTAAAGACTGACTTTGGTACGGTATGTACCGTTTCGTGTTATTTTCAAAACAGATGATCTACAAAAATTCAATAAAGTATTCAGTGCGATACAAGCAAACCACTCGAATTGTATAGTATATTTCTACGAATCTCTAAAGAAAATCCACAACGTCCTAAAAAGTAATTTAGAGGTTATTAACATAAAATTACTATTTTAAAAAAAATTGACAGAGATTTGAATTTTTGGATTATACCAAATTCTAAAATAAACTTGAAAAAAAAAAACGAATTTGCTTGAATTCAACACGAATTTTCGAATCTCGAACGTTTGGTACGAAAACTCATCCCTTTAATTTTTGCATTAACATCATTTATTTCTCTTTAACATTTACACTTAAATAATTGGTTTAGGTCATTTTGTTATAATTTTACCAAAATTTTCTTTAAGTATTAACTATTATCGATTCGTTATAAGAATCACTCATTTTTAATTATATTTTATCCTAATAAAAAGAATAAGATAACTAGTTTGACAAAATTGTCACTAATTTAAAACAACTCAAAAAAAAAACAGTAATTTGCCTAGCAAGAACATATATGAAGACAAAGTTTGAACACGAAGCTGTAGGAACTCAATTGTGTAGTAAATTTTTTCTACGACCCACAAACGAAAATCTACAAAATTTTAAAATAAATTTGAAGGTTAAGATAAAATAAATATTTTAATTAGTCCTCATCCTGGATTTCGTATGAAAACTCACTACTCTATCTTTGCAAAAACAAGACAAACAACTTTTTTTTTCAAATACTGATTATAAGATTGGTTTAGTGTCAATAAAATTTACGATTTATTTGTAAATATAGACGAATATTTTGTGGAATGCTCTTATTTTTTTTATCGCTTCTTCACAAAAACACATTTTAAATTATATTTATTCTCAATAACTACAAAATATAGTGACAATTAGTTTGGCAGAATTGTCATTTATTTCAAATTTAAAAAAATAATAGTAGTCCGATCTTTTTAGAATTAATAGTTTATATTAATTTAGTAGAATGTAATGGCCTACTTTTAGGTCAGGTTATGTCGCCTAGTGAGAACATTAGTGACCTAACTCCGAATATGTTGATCTTAAGATAAACGCGGTTAAAGTTTGTACGAAAATTATTTTTTTTTTGGCTATACGTTTGGAGCTATCTTACCGATTTTTTTCTCTAAATTTTAAATATCTTTAAGTTATAATGTAACAGGTTCTTTTTTAAGTAAATGAATATTAATAATGTTACATTCGTCAGTATTGCCTTCGAAGGTGAAAATAAAAATACCAAGCATTACAAACAACTACAGCCTTCGAGCAGACAGTAGTAGAACTATAATTTCGTAAGTTATGTACCAGTTGCGGGCTACATTAAGCAATTTTTTTAACTACACAAGTCGAAAACGTGTATTTTTGAGTTACGTCACTAATGTTCTCACTAAACGATGTATAATATCCGTGTGGGTGTAAAATATTTAGTTGGCGAGCTACTAAACGTTTGGTGGATTTAATAATAATGATACTCTCCATAATTCACCCCCTTACGAGTGAATTTTAACCCCAAAAGCTGTGTTTGTCTGGGGAAGGGACGGATATTATTATTTTCCGTGGCGCTCCGGGGTGACTTAAAGATGATTAATAGTGCCATTTAACTTACACCATCTTCGCAACGATTACGCATGGCGATTTTTATAATCTGGATATCATATCAACAGAAATTTCTGCTAATACGGCATCCATCAAATTCTAGAGAACCATGCAAATAAATTCACATGATCTTCTGTAGGATTCAAAGCCGTCTCTGAACCACGAAATTGCTCGCAAATGAATGCGAGCGCGTTAGACACCTACGCCATTGATCCGATACGCATTATACACATTATGGAATAGATATAACGTTTTATTCGTTTAATAGACTTATATCTAGTTACATAATAATTCTGTAGATTCTGTAAAAAATAAATATGAATATATTTTTTGCTACACCCACATAAGTATTATCTACGCAAAACTACGAAGCGAAAAAGTATGCCATTGCGTTCAACTTAACGAATATATTTCATAGCCATTTTACCTAGTACGAACACTGCAAAAACATTAAATCCACCAGTTCACAGTTCATATTTTGGCCACTCGGCTATTATTTTTAAAATTTTATATGAGTGGCAATTCTGTCATACTAATTGTCAGTATATTTTTTAGTTATTAAGAATAAATATACGTAAAAATGAGTTATTCTTGTGTAGAATCGATAAATAATAGCATTACTTTTTATTTTGTCTACATTTACAAATAAATCTTAAATTTTAATCGAACTACCTATATAAAACTAATTTAATTAAGAGTATTAAAACTAAAATCATAAGTGTAGCGATGTAGGTGAAAACAAGGCGTTTGTCTTTCACGTGAGAGGTCTGGGTTCAAATCTGAGCTGGGGACTAATTAAATTAAATCTTTTTTTTTTTTCATGTTTATTTTATTTTATAAATTAGTTAAAGTCATAAATTATTTTAAAAGTAGGTAGTTATTTTGTCTTAAAAACCTAAAATAATTTTGTAGATTTTCGTTAGTGGGTCGTAGAAAAAATATACTGTACAACTCGAGTGGATTGTCCATAACAACTCTTGTTGTACAAACTACTAAACTCGTTCTTATTTGGCTTTCGCAAATGCATTTAGCGAATGTGGTTTGTGGATAAGGCGTTGACTTTTCAAACCAGAAGTTGTGTGTATTCAGCTCTTGGTGTAATCATTTTTTATATTTTATTCTAGTTTTTCT